AAAGGGGGGGGGGGGCAGGGTTCTATTCATTTACAAGTTTGTCTGTAGGGAGAAGGAAGCCTTTTTAAAAAACCACAATGTTAATTCATTCTGGCAGGATTGGAAATACTTAACAGATTCTAAACACAGATTTATAATTACAAAGCAGATGATAAAAAATAGATGTAGCATTTGTAATGGAAAAAAAAATTGAAGTTATTCAGGAGTAGAGAACAAATGAATGATAGTATAATCTATTCTTATTTAATAGCAACTCACCTTAAAATTGTTCCTCACATAATTAAAAAAAAAAAATATGGACCTATGTACACATTTAAAAATATATATATATATATATCTTTATTGATTTCAGAGAGAGGAAGGGAGAGGGAGAGAGAGAGTTGAAACATCAATGATGAGAGAGAGAGTCATTGATTGGCTGCCTCCTGCATGCCTCCTGCTAGGGATCCAGCCCCCAACCCCGGGCATGTGCCCTGACTGGGAATCGAACCCTGATCGCCTGGATCCTAGGTAGGTGCTCAACCTCTGAGCCACGCCTGGCCGGGTTCCTCAGATTAATTTTTTAATTTCAAAGAAGTACATGTTCATCTTAGAAAAATTAGGAAATGTAGATAAGCAAAAAATGAGGGTGCTGGTACCAGAAAACCTATTGCCCTGTTATTCAGGAATACATGATAACTTCCTGATCATCCCTCTAGATGTTTATATAGACTTTTTTTAAAGCAAAAATTGGGATCATATTTTGTACTGTTCTGTAATCTGCTTTTTTATTCAATATTAGAAACATCTTTATGTCAAAAAAATAGCATCTATGAATAATTTTTAATGGCTCTTATCATTTCATTATATGACTATATTCCCAGAGTATTTTAAAAACCCATCCAGAAATATATTAATTTTTAAACTAAAAGCCAGCAAAAATAAAATTAATCACAGATATTTTAAGTTTTTTTAAAATAAAATTTTATTGATTTCAGAGAGAGGAAAGGAGAGGGAGAGAGAGAGAGATAGAAACATCAATGATGAGAGAGTCATTGATCGGCTGCCTCCTGCACGCCCCCGACTGGGGATGGAGCCTGCAACCCAGGCATGTGCCCTGACCGGAAATCAAACCCCGATCGTTCGCCTGCATCCTAGGTCGACGCTCAGCCACTGAGCCACGCCCAGCCAGGCTAAGTTTTAATTTACTTTGTTTCCATTTTTATAATTTGAAAATAATTGGAAAAAGAATTAAAATTTGTCATAATATCACTATTTAAATATAAGTCACTATTTTTGTGTTTTTCATCCCAGATCCCCCCCCAATATATATATTTTTTAAAGCAAAATTTCTTATTAATTAAAGAAAATATTTAGAAGGCTCTTCTGCATACACCTGAAAATTGAAGAGGGGTAACTAAGAGAACCACTGGGAAATGAAAAGAAATAAACACCTGGAGAAAAGAGGCTGCGGGCCTTCTCCTCTGTTCCTCTACCCTTCTCTGGAGCAGGGGGGAAGAAGGAGAGGCTGCTAATGGCCACGAGTCTAATGCAGGTCAAAAGGAGGTGGGAGTGATTGTTTGTGTGACAATGGGAGGTAGAATTGTACCGGATTATATCAAGAGTTGAGGAAGTCATTTGCACTCCCTAGGGAAGAGTTGGACCTGAGGCAATTAGAATTTTCCACCTCTTCCCAGCCGGGTGTGGCTCAGCGGTTGAGCATAGACCTAGGACCCAGGCGATCAGGGTTCGATTCCCAGTCAGGGCACATGCCCGGGGTTGGGGGCTGGATCCCTAGCAGGAGGCGTGCAGGAGGCAGTCAATCAATGACTCTCTCATCATCGATGTTTCTCTCTCTCTCTCTCTCTCTCCTTCCCTCTCTCTGAAATCAATAAAAATATATTTAAAAAAAAAAAGAATTTTCCACCTCTTACTTTAGGGCCTCTTCTATCACAAAAGCATACAAGGTAGGGAAAAGCCCCAGATCTTTTTGATGATATCAGGAGAACCCAAGAATTTATCAGGCAGCCCCTCTGAGGCCCCCCTCGCAGTTGCTAATCGGCTGAGGTGTGGGGATTTTGAGAGACTCTTTGCTTTTGGTGAATGGTCTGGTGTCAGCAGCAGGAAGTAAGCCTGGGAGGCTGTCCTTGTGGGAGAAGACGAGTACTAAAAGATGCTAAAGCATTTACTCAGAGATCTCTTAAAAGAGGAAGAGTACACTGTCCTAAAAAGGGGAGCATATTGAATGCCCACCAAACCTAAAATATGGGAGGACCAGTGGTGCTGGAGAGTTGCCTTGGCACTCTTCCCTTCCCCCAGGGTCCCTGGAGGCTTCTCAAACTCAGTGGCCTCTTTTACTGTCATTCTTATAATCCTGCCCTCTTCCATCACATGTATCTTTCACTCTGGCACAAACATTATGAAAACTAAATGCAGGTTCTAAATGTGAATTCACTGAGCGAGGCCTGGCAGTTCTGGCTTTGACCGGGAGACGTTGCTGTGACCCTCCCTGTTCTGAGAACTGCCCCTCTCTGGCTGGTGTTCACTGTGTCCCTGCCTCTCTGTCTTGCTTCCCCACTCCCAGGGTTCTGGCTTGTGTGGACCATCATCATCATCCTGAGCTGCTGCTGCGTCTGCCACCACCGCCGAGCCAAGCACCGCCTTCAGGCCCAGCAGCGGCAACATGAAATCAACCTGATTGCCTACCGGGAAGCCCACAATTACTCAGCGCTGCCATTTTATTTCAGTACGTACACCCTCAGGAGCCCAGGACACACAGACTGTGTGTGTTGGTGGCCAGGGCTCCTATGGGCATTGGGGGTTTGCCTCCTTGCCCAGTACAGAGCAGGGTTTTGAAAGTACAGGAACAAGGGGGCAGTAGTTGTGTTTAGCACAGAGGAGCCATTGCTGTGGATGCAGCTCCTTGAAGCCATTGGGCCACTGCAAATCTACACTGGCTGCGCTCTGACAAGGTCTCTGCTTCTTTAGCAAGATTTTTTTTAGGGAGATAGTTGGATGGTATATGATGTGAGCGAATTGAGATTTCGAGTTCAGTGGCCTGAAATCCTCCTATTTGTTTACAGTCATGTGATATGATGAGCAGAGTCTGCCATGAAAGGGGCGGGTGGGGGTGGTTGACACTAGGACTTCCTGAGAATTAAGAACTTGATGACTCACTGAAAGGCACTCACTTGACTTCTTTGGGCTTCCATACATACGCCCTCTCAAATGGTCAGTGGAGGCCCAGCTGTACAGCTTGTCCAAACCCATTTTACCATGTGTTCTACTGAAACAAGTGATCACAAATGTGGAATTTCACATCTAGAAGGGTTAAGTGCTTAGCAGTGCCTGGCATATAGTAAGTGCTCAATAAATGCTAACAATTATTGTTGTAAGTAGATCATCAGTGCCTCAAGGCATTCAGCATAGTGAAAAGATAATTCACCTGGCATGCTCTTATAAGCCTTGGATCACAGGCCCTCACCCTTCCTTGGTAACCCACCTGCTCGTTGTCTGAGTCAGGATAAGGTTTTGTTTGTCTTTGTAGACCAACTCCAGCCACACTAGAGTGAGAGACAACACAGATTTACAACCTTCCAGATAAAGGCGCTCTTCATGGTATTCATCTGGAAGGATGGGGGAAGAAAAAAGTGGTCAGAGTATTAAGTTTGGGTCCCTGATCCTGAGGCCAATGGGACATAGATGTAGGACAGTCTGACTGTGAAATAGGAGACACGTGTGCATGTGGAAACAGGTCCATTCCAGGCAGAAATGATCTCTTGGCCATCCACCACATTTGCCTAAACCTCTGCCTTCACTCTGGACCAGACAGGCAGAAATCTTTGCCTATAAAGCAGCTTTAGGGGCTCTCAGGTTTCAAGAAGTTAGATTAGTTTACTCCCATAGCTCTCTGCCCTGCCCACAACCAAGACCTGTAGCTGTCACCTGGTGGGTATGCTGGGGGTGGGAGGAGACATATATTCAATGTCTCTGTCCTAGAACAATTGCCAGTGCAGTAATTTCTCCTCCCTACCTCCCCATTTTAGGGTTTTTGCCAAACTATTTACTACCTCCTTATGAGGAAGTGGTGAACCGACCTCCAACTCCTCCCCCACCATACAGTGCCTTCCAGCTACAGCAGCAGCAGCTGTCTGCACAGTGTGGCCCTGCAGGCAGCAGCCCCCCAGTTGCTGATCCCACCAGGGGCTCCCAAGGGGCACAGAGCAGCCCCTTGTCTGGGCCCAGCAGAAGCAGCACGAGACCCCCGAGCATCATCGCTGACCCTGAGCCCTCCAACACCGACATGCCAGCCAACCCAGCAGCCACCAAAGCCCCTGGAATGGAGCCCAGCGGCTCCGTGGCTGACCTGGGAGAGCTGGCCCCTGGGGCCTTCCTGGACAAGGATTCCGAATGTAAGGAGGAGCTGCTGAAAGATTACAGCTGCGAGCAGGGCGGTGCCCTCCCCGACAGCAAGGACAAGACGCCTGGCCGACATCGCCGCTTCACGGGTGACTCGGGCATTGAGGTGTGTGTGTGCAACAGGGGCCACCATGACGACGACCTCAAAGAGTTCAGCACATTCATTGACGACGCTCTGGATGGACCCCTGGACTTCTGCGACAGCTGCCACGTGCGGCCCCCTGGTGACGAGGAGGAAGGGCTTTGCCAACCCTCCGAGGAGCAGGCCGGAGATCTTGGGCATCCCCACCTGCCACGGCCACCCGCGTGCCTGCTGCTAAACACCATCAATGAGCAGGACTCCCCAAACTCCCAGAGCAGCAGCTCCCCCAGCTAGAGTAGGCCCGCCTGTGCCTGAGATCTCGGCAAAGCAACCGGGATGGGGAGAACCACGACAGAAGCATTAAGTGACTTTCAGAAAAAGTGGTTCCGCCACTTGGTCCTTCTTTTTCTCCTCCCCCCCCCCTTGTTCCCGCATTTTCCTACACCTCCAGGTACTGTTCGGGTGTGGATGCCTCTCCCCGCACAGAAGCACAGTGCTGTGGAGGGCTGAGAAGTGGGTTCTGTGACACTTCTCATTGCCCACCCCATCCCCTTTGTCCTTTCCAAGTCATATCTCAGCTACTGCTTGGGTCAGAGAGATGTGTGTTTAAGGAGCCCCCAGGGAAGGGGCTGAGACTACTCCGAGGTACTCGCGGTGGTGGAGTGGGTTTTTCTCTGGTGTTAGTGTAAGAGTCAGCCTGGGAGAGGCAGCAGATCTCAGCCCTGGGTGAAGGAAGCCTGCAGAGACCCAGGACTCGTCACCCCTTGCTGCTGTGTCTGCAGAGCCCAACTTGGGCTAATCCTGTGGCAGGATGAAGGCTGATGGGTAGTCATGTGGTAGGTTGTAAGGGTTTGTTGCATTCTCAGATTCCAGGTGACGAGATCGATGATGCATCACCGCATCACTGAGGGGCCCTGCCCTGCATTCTGGCTGGCCACACACCAGTTCAGATGGGGAAGATTATACTGCCTTCTCTTCGTTTTTTTTTTATTTTAAAAAAGAAAAAGAACAAAAGCGAGCTGAAAACAAGAACTTGATCAGTGTCAGGCAAGAGTTCTGTTCTGGGAAAGAGAAGTCTGCGGCTCTTTCCTAAGTTGGCCTTCAAGGAGCCTGGCTGTGATTGAGCCAGAAGGGGATGCTCTGTGTACCGGCTTTGGTGGAGGCTGTCTCTGAGCTTCTGTGGGTGCACAGGAAGCCCTGAGCTGTGGTGGTAGATAGAAGTGCAGTTTTCTGCATGTCTGCCCTTTGGTCTGTGCCCACAGGTGACCAGGGCACTCCCCGAACCCAAGCACACAGTCTGCAGGCCTTTACGTTTCACTGTTCTCTATGAACAAATGAGGAGGCTGTGGGTCTTGAGGAAGGGCTCCCCCATTGCCTGGCTCTCACACAGTATTTTCTCGATTCTGAATAAGTTTTTTTGGCTTTTTAAAATTTTATTTTAACTGACCACTTGGGAAAAAATGCCTTGGTTATCTGTGGTTTTCATGTCCGTCCGTCCCCTCCCCCCCGTAAGTGGGTTAACTAATCATTGTAGTCTATGGTAAAGAGTTTAAATGGCCCAAGGAGGGGGTGAAGGCAGCCATCCAGAAGGAACACAGGATCCTTGTTACTGTAGTTTGGCTTCAGATAACCAGTTGAACTTTGATGGGAATAATCTGAATGGAGAAAGCAAACAGCTGAAACTAACATTCCCTGCCCAGCCCTGTTCATATGAAGAGTTTGGTTCTTCCCCCACTCTTGAACGATGACATTTAGACTAGGCAATGACGTTGTGGTAAGAAAGGAAACAATATGTAGACGTATACAAAAATAGACAAATCCAAGGCTGTGAGGTGAACGAGTGTCTGTGTTTGGAGTCCACAAATCCAAAACCCATGTTGAACAAAGTGAAGTCCGTATACAATGACTTTTTGGATAACCTATGTCTGTCTGTTCGTTGTATGTGAGCCCCCAGCCCTGTTTTCCTGTGAATATACTTTGAATGGCAGCCGTTCTGCTCCCATTTACCACATGTTTGGAGCAGATATGGCCCTCTCAAGGTAATTTATTTTATGCATTTACTGTTTACTGAACAAATGTCTGACTGTGTACTTGGGTGTATTCAGCAGCATTGTCGACGGCAGTCCCGTGTTTGCCAGAGATACTGTCCTCAAAGTAGAGGTTTTACTCTACCCATCACTGCAATTTGCACATTGCTCCGTGGACACGCGGAGGCCTGTGTTCTGTTCCCTATAAATGGAAACGTGCTCTGAACATGTCTGCCTCCCTCGGCTGCTCCTGGCCCTCGGTATCAGCCCCCTGGGGGATGTTCACAACCACTTGGGACAGAAGGTGAAGGTGGAACTTCAGACCGAAGCTTAATTGGATCTTCAGGGACAAGCTTGGACTAGCTGTGGCCCAGACGTCAGCCCTGCCCAGAATTGCCAGGAGGTTTTGGCAGCCACCACAGGGTTTACCTCCCTTTGCTGAAGTCCAGTTCGCGCAAACAAGCCGGTGTGTGGCGAGAGTGGGCGGGAGTGCGTCAGCAGCCCTCAGATGCCTTTCCTTCCACCATTTAAAAAAAAATCCCCAACAACTCACTGAAGTGTCTCCAAGGACATCAAGTTTTACCAAAATGAATCCTCCTTCAGTTCACTGATCAAATGGATGAATTCTGGCCCTCTCAAGTTTCCTTCTCCCGCCAGATTGGGGGGCTGGTCTGAGTGTTAAGGTTCACTGCAGCGTCCCACCCTAAAGGCAGGAGAAGAAGAGGGTGGAGCTGGGGAGCTGGGCTTGATTCCAGCAGTCACAGTCTGTCCCCTGCTCCAGGAGGCTACCCTGAATGCAGTGAGAAATGGAAATGGGGAGTTGAAGGACTGGTTAGGGCGCCAGGGAGATTTGGTTGAGTCTGGTTTTCCAGATGAATGGGAAGGAAGGGGGGCTGGTCGAGGGTTTGGTGCTACAGTCAGAAGATTTGCAAATGCTAACACATTCCTATGTGCAGCACATCACCATTTGTCAGTTATTGTGAATATGTGTATTTTAAGCAATAAGATTCAGCTGGTCAGACCTTTCTGGGCAGTCTCGGTGACGCATTTTCTGTGCTGTGATTGTTCTGAAGACAGAGTGGCTCTAACCACTGTGAGAAGCCCAAATAAAATCAGTCCCAAAATTCTACTGCTCTTTTTCCTTGAAGCACTTTGTTCCTTTTCCCTCTACCTCAGACTTCAGGGAGTTGCACCTAAAGGTTCCTAACCGCAAGTGCTTTTCCCTCCTCCACACACAGGCAGAGAGAAGTCCCACAGCAGCTGAGGACAGGCTCTTGGGCCAGGCAGAAAAATCACAGGGGCAAGAGCAAGCTAGGTAATGCTGCTGCCGAGGCCACACTCTGTGCTGCGGAATCTCCCCGAAACCGTCTGCCAAGGGTACCTGTCTGACATTTGAATACTTTGTAAAGTCCCACAAACAGGTTAAAATCAGACCCAAAAAAGTAGAAACGAGTTTTGTCAGGAACCTTGAAGCTAAAACATGACATTCAAAAGGAAGCAAGTTCTCTCTGAAATCTCTCTTTTTTTTTTAAAGTATATCTTTATTGATTTCAGAGAGAGTAAAGGAGAGGGGGAGAGAGAGAGAAACATCAATGATGAGAGAGTCATTGATCAGCTGCCTCTTGCATGCCCCCGCAAACCAGGCATGTGCCCTGACCAGGAATCGAACCCTGATCGCCTGGATCCTAGGTCCATGCTCGACCGCTGAGCCATGCCCGGCCAGGCTGAAATCTCTCTTAATGATACGAGAGAAATGTGGTAGGTGCTTGACCTTGAATTTAATATGCAAAATATGTCTTAGTGATTCTCCCACTTGGTGCCCAGCACTGTGCTGGATGCTAAGGAAAATGGAAGAAATACATAAGACCAGGCTCCGTGCCCTTTGGAAGTTCAGTTCCGGTTAGGAAGGCAAAAACATACCCATGTGCCATAGTTAACTGAGGTGGGTTGAGATGAAGTGAGCGGTGCAGATTCAGGGACACTTGAGTCGTGGGAGGTAATTTGAGGTCTTGAATCCCAGGCAGGGAACTCAGAACTGATTTTTAAGCTGTGGAGAAGCCACTGGTGTGCCAACATCTGTCATCGGGGAACAGCTATTGTTTCCTGACTCATTGTCACTTTACTTTCTAAAGACTGTCCCAATAGAACTTTGAGTCAGGTGTAAGTCTCTGCTCAAAGGGAAGGAACTGCCCAACCTAGCAAGACTTCCTTTGGGGCAGCCTGCAGGTGGGCAAAGCAAGATGATGTGGAATCTTGCTGGAGCCCTCCCTGGAGGGTTCCTGCCTCCCCAAGTGACACTCAGTAGCGGGGTGCTGGCGGAGGACAGAGAAGAGAGCGTTCTCTCACATAGCCTTCGCTTTACCCTGCAGTCAGCACTGCTGTTGCGAAGAGCCCAGTGTAAGCCAGACATGTCCCTGCAGCCATCTTTGACCCTGGTCCAGAGGACACTGCCCTGACCCTTCAGTGACTCGAGAGGGATGGTTGTTGCCTAGTTCCTTATAAACTGTTGAAGTAACCTCAGGGGAGCCACAGTAGCTTCTGGAGACTGTCTTGCTCTAAAACCACAGGGGAGAACTGGAGGAGTACACCATTCCTGCCTTCTTTAATCGAGTGTCTGAATGGCAGAAACACAAATGTACAACTTGTACAGGCCGAGTGCCAGAGGCTGTGCGTGTACCCTTGATCCCCAGGTCTGTAGCCCCACACCCCAGACTCCTGGGTCACTGAGTTCCTCCCCCAGGTGACCAGGTTCAAGCAGAGACAGTACCAATGCCCTGAAGCACAAACCAGAGTAGCTTTGATGAACTGGAATTTCAAGAAATTCCCCATTCTCCAGTTTCCTGTTTTAGAGGGAGGGCAAAAACAGGGTTTCACTCAGGAGAAGTAGGAAGTAGGTTTGGCTGACTGTTGGCCTAACCTGCTGGAAACCTGCTTCTGGCTGAACCTACTGCCAAGGGCAGTGGGTCCTGGGAGGTGTTTGGGATACGGGTTTCCACTCTGGGGGTGAGTGGCCTTACTTAAGAGCTGATCATTTATCGAGCACCTACCATGTGCTAGGCATTGGGAATGCAAATATGCCCTAGACCTGCCTCCTTGGAAGAGCTCATGGTCTAGGGAGGAGGAAAGGCATACAGTAAACAGGTTTAGTAGCACATGGAAAGTACCATGAAGCACGTGGAGCACAGGACACCAGAAGGGAATGTGCCCACCTGGACAGGGGGCAGCCTGGAACAGAGGCCTCTGAAATGAACTTGCCAGATGAAGACAGGTATAAGGGGGATTCTAGGCAAGCGTTCAGTCTGTAGATTATTGAGTGCCCACTGTGTGCCAGGTGCTGAAAAGCACAGAAAAGCATGGTAGGCCTAAAACAGGAGAGGGTGGGCGTCCTGCCTAAAGCTGCGAGCAACTTCATCTTTCTGGGAAGTGACAGGAAATGAAGCTGGAGAGAGGTAAGCTTGTAATAAAAATAATCTATCTTGTCGTTTCATTTGTTGACTGTTTACACAATACCAGGTCTTGTGTGAGCATCTTACCCACGTTTTTAAATTTTAGACTCAAAACAGCCCTTTGAAGCATGGCCTCTAATTCCTGCTTGATTAATGGGATTGAGGCATTCAGAGTTACTGACTGACTTGTCCAAGGCAACACAGCTAATAAGCGGTAGGGTCAGAATTGAACCCCATACTCCTTGACTCCAAAGCCCAGGCAGTACTCTAGTCGGTGTGACAGTTGTACTGCTGGTGTCATGTGAAGAACCTTTCAGAGGTGAGAGGGAACCAGAGAAAGGTGTCTTGAGCGGGGGAGTAGCCTGGTGAAAGGTGAACCAGACACCGTTTGCTCAGAGGCTACTTTATCCCCTCTTTCCCTTCCCCTCGCCTTGTCATAAGCCCTCGGAGGCCCCACACGCAGCCAGCGTCGCCTAGCAGAGCCCCTCAGTGCTGAACCGGCCTGCCTGGGACGGACAGGGCTGCCGCAGGTCAGTGTGGACTTCCACAGGGAGGTGCGGCCTCTTGGAAACACCGTGAAATTTGGGGGAGTGAAAGCTCTGGGTCTTTGTAGAGTGTTTTGCTCTTCCTCTGAGGAGATAAAAAGAGCTTTGGGTGGCTTGTGAGGGGAAGAAGAGGAAGTTTGACCTGAAGTGGCTCCTCACCACAGCTTAACCTTCCGTCGCACGTCTCACCAAGAAGTCTCATGAAACCCAATCCTGGAAAATGTTACAAAACACCCTCGGTGTGGGAACCATGCAAAGTCTGTCTCTGGGCTCTCCATCCACTCCCGGCTGCCAGCCTGCCCTGGTGCTGGAGGGAAGGAGGGGGCAGCAGGCAGGGCCGTCGGGTCCGGAGTAGGTTCCTGGAGGCCCTGTCCTTCAGTGAACCATCTGCACGCACCTGCTCCTCCTGACCAAGCCGGTAGCCTTTTGGGAGGCTTTTATGAAACCCTTAGAGAAGGGCTTATTTTGTGGATCTGGACATAGGCAGTGACAATAAAGCCAGTGTTTAATCTCACTGAACATGTTACATAGGCCCATATTTCATCCTCAGCAGGGGGTCTGGTGAGAGGCCCGGTAAGTTGCCCATGGTGATTTGGTCTGTAAATGACGACACTGAACTTGCCTCCACAGCCTGACTTCTTACCTTCTGTAACTCCGGTTGGTGTGGGACTCTCCTGTCACACAGCCCTTTCTGCTTTTCATCCTCACCAGAGCCTCCGATAATGGGAGCACAGGTGGTAAGTTACCCCACTGGGCAGATGAGGAAAGTGGGGTTCAAGAAGCTAGCAGTGGGCCTCAGATCCAGGGCTGGGAAACTGTGGAGTCTGGGGACTAGGCCCTGGGTGATCAGGTCCTCCTCGGCTGGTCCTCTCTCCACTCCACAGTGTGACTGGATTCCTGTCCTATCGAGGTGGGTGTTAACACCTATAAGCATGACAGGAGAGAGGACTCCTCATTTGCTTCAGGTTTTATGGCCACAAGAAGCCGACTAGAACTGTCATGCCCTCTCACCTGTCCACACCAAGGTTACTGGG